TCCGCCATCTAATGGAGTAGTCCATTCCATTATGCCCAAGTGAGTCTCGGTTTCCGTTAATCTACTTGCTTCACCTAAACCCACAACCTTTCTCTTGAATCCACCGCGAATCATACCATGGTCCCAGAGGGCATCAATCGTAGGGGTGCATCAGAAACCCTCCGGTTCCGCGGACCCGGTCCATGTCACGCCCAGATACCGTTCGTCTCGGTCCCATGACCTATGCTCATCTCATCTCTCCACATCTCATCAACGTCACCGTGGAGAAGCAAACGGCACCTGAAGTGCCGACGGACTTGGATCAACCGTCAACTCGGGGAAAGGCAAATAGACACACGGCCTTATGTGGTTTCGGGGGTCAAGACAGGCTTCATATGTTCACTCCGTATACCACCACATGCGTGTATAGGCTTCGTAACAAGCGACCGAATGAAACCAAGCACACACAAAACCCTCAATCGCGCCTAAAGTCCGAGTCGATCTTCTGCTCACGCAACAACCACCATCCTCGCCGTCCGCATCAATAGCCATGCGTTCAACGGTCTCCCACGCGAGTTCACGGATTGGCCGCGTTTGCCTTCGCCTAATGCATGTCTTGTTGTCCTGCAACACACTAATACCTCGGATCCTCCCTTACCTCGAGACGAGCTCCGAACGACTCACCCCTATGTCTCCAACTTTTATGCCTTCGTGAGCATCGACCCAGGAACATGGGTCTCGGTCTTGCGGGAGCATATGCCAGAAAAGGTAGATGCGCGCGCGACCTCCCCAAGAAACCCATCAAACACAAACAGCCTCACTCTGGCTAGTAGCTCGAGGCGTTACGCAAAAAGTCCGCGGGTTATCCGCGCAATCTCCCCCACGCATCCATCGCAATGCCGGCGACCATCGCTCCTCCACGGTTCTACCCAGCGTCTCCGTCCCTCGACTGACTCTGTAACTCCCGCATCCCCTCTTACCGCGTCCTCCTGTCTCTCCCTCATACAGCCTCCAGCTCATATGGCGCCAATCAGCCGGCTGATCCTCCCCGCTTCAATCTCACTCACCTAGAGTTCTACACCCATCTCATGCCTTGGGGAACCCTCCGTCCTGGGGCTACTCTTTCCCGAGGACCGATGCAGGGTTGATAATTCTCAGTCCAGATCAAGGGGCATTCGCTAGGCTCACATCATCCATCATCCCAGTTTCGCTGCCTGCAGCGTTGCTCATTAAGCAAATGACATCTGAAAACACAAGATGGCTCAGAGACTTGGTCATAAAAGGCGATGACCATCACCTTGCATTGTATATCACGCCCCCGTACACTTATTTTCGGCAAACAACCGCCCACACACCCTCATCTACCCCCGGCAGATCCACAAAGTCCTGCTCGGAAGCACAGAATGCCAGACCATACCCAACAAGGCAGCACTTTGGGAGTTGAAACAACGTGCCAACCCGGAAGGGGCAGTATCACGAACCAGCAGCGACATTGAAATACATCCTCTACATCGATGTACTTGACTTCCCTCGTCTACCTTGTTCAACCCTCCCCATACCTTTCGATACATTGCGTCCACCTCTGCTAAGACCGCCCCCTCAGCTCTCCAAGCTCCAAGCTCTTTCCATCCATCAACCCTACCCGCCTGGACGCTCACTTGGCCTCATCTCACATCAACCTCGCATCAACCTCACATCGACTTCACATCGACTTCGCATCACCCTGCCTTGCCGTCGAAACCAACCGCACAACTCCATCCCCAGCGGCAACTCGCAGGCCCCCAACGCAAACAGAGTCCAACGCCTACCCCAAAAAGTACCTATCTATGCATCTTTCAGCTTACCATTTTGCCCTCCTCCTTCTCCTCCTCCTCCTCCTGCGCCCTGCAACTTCCGGATCCCTCCGCCCTATCGCCGTCCTATTTCCACCCGAATCCCGGATCAAAGACCACCGGGGGCCATTCCTGCGCCTTTGGTCGTGGAACGGGGGTCGCGTTGCCGGCGAGGCGGCGCGGACGGGTGGGTGGTCGACGGACGAGGGTCCGAACGGATTGCCCAATCCATGTGCCGGGCGGGACCCAGTCCAACCAAAACCCCCCCTGTCCGCATCCATGACAAACTTCCCACGGCCCCCGGGACGCCGACGCCTCAAGGTGAGCAGTCGTGTGCGACCTCTCACCAACATGTCCGACGTCTACTCTCGCCCGACTCACCTCGAAGCTGCCTTTGGACCTCTTGTCAACAATCAGATATCACCTCGCCTGGCTCCTCAATGGCATCCACGCGCCCCCTTGGTAGCTCTTGCCAGGCTGCTGCCTTCTGCTATTCCAAAGAATGCCCCTCCGCCCCCTGCTCGATAACGTCTGTGTAACAGAAGCTGACGAAAGCACTAGGGACCGTCGCTAACAAAGGACCAGCCCGCAGACCATCGCTTCCCCTTGCTCATGACCCCCCCTGTTCTGCATCTACCCTCCATCACAAATATCCAAATTGGTCTTTTGCGCTCAACAAACCGCCGGCTGCCTCACTCGCGAGTAGCCCGAAATGGTTCTCGCTTTCAGTATCCTCGCCTCTCCTGCTGCCTTGCGACATGCGCGCCCTCCCTGCCGTCACCTCGGCCATGTAAGCAGGCAGCTCCCACGCAGCACGTGTCGTTAAAGAAGTGTACACTAGGGATGCTCCGTACCGTTCGACGTGGCTCTCACATCAGAACTGAGGCTCTGCATGAGCGTAGGAGTGCACTGCATCTGCTGCTCCGCTTTCGATGGGATTGCAACGGACTCTCGGCCGGACCCATCCCGCTCTGAATGTCCTGCCAATGACACCCTCACGTGGACGATGCCATCGCCAGGCGCCAGGGGTTCATTTTGTTGACCAGGTGGCTAGGGGCTGGGTATTCCATTGCTAGCAGCGTGCCCTGCCGAAAGAGATAGGGGCACCAAAACCCAGGCGGTCGGTGTCGATCGAGACCACCGCGCGATCCCGGTCTCCGATGTACAAGCCACCTAGGAGGGGAATCCCCCCTTCCGAGCGAGGAGAGTCCCGTTGGCTTTCGCGTATTCCTGCCAAGAAAGGGCCGTGTCATGTCTTTACAGCACTTGCTGACTTGTCTACCTGCTCGCACTACTGGCGACCGCCGTGACCAGCTGCGATGCGACCGGCCATGGGCGATCGCAGCTGGATAAAGTTGGAGCGTTATCCAGGGTATGGCAACGGCGCCAACGGCCATTGAACGGACGAGTTTCGCATGAGCATCAGATCCGACCTGTCTCAAAACTACCGCCAAAAGCAAATAAAAGAATCCCTCGACGCAGAGGGTAAGCTGCAATCGCTGGAGGCGACCGGTCAAATCTCACCTGTAGTGACGTGGCAGGCCATACCACAAGGTCTCTTGCTAAATCAAACACAATATCAGCAGGCTACCCCGATGGGTACTGATACCGGAGGATACCAGAAGCAGAACGCCGCAGGACCCACGCGCCGTCGTCTACGTAACTCGCTTGAGGTGGGAAAGCTGCAGCGTCACCCCCGACTCTGGCAGCCTCATTCAATGCGATGAGAACCAGCAGTCGCATGTGACTGCTCACAAAGCTTCCAAAGGGAGCCGTCGCCCTCCTTGCTGACATGCGTGAGACAAACAAGGTGCGATTCTGCGCGGTGTAGCAGACGCCCAGGTTACTTGTGAGTCAAATGGAAACGCCAGCCCGGCCCAGGACATCTAGGTTGAGGTGAAGCTACCCGGGTGACCGGGCACGATGGTATCGTACTGCTTTGCGCAATTGCCTTCGTCAACACGAGACGCGGGGGCCATGCGGGTTGGCGATGGTATGAGCTGACAAGTCGGGTCGTACAAGCAGAACGAAAGGAACGCATGATTCGGTGAAGGTACAGACGTCGTCCGCCTCACCGACCTGCACTGAAACCTCTCCCTGGTATCCGGCTAGTGAGAGCGTCGCCAAAACGCCGTCAATAGCGTAATCAGCGTCCCGTGATGCTAGTGTACGCCTGCAGGCTGCACGAGGTGAAGAAAGCAGTAAGGCGGAGGATTTGTGAGGCAGGGTAGGAAGGACGTCGGTGAGTAGGCGGTATGTGTACGGCGCAGCAAACAACTCGCTGCAGCTGTCCGTACATGATAGATAGATGGCTACTGCTGCAGACTCAGCCTGGCTGTCTAGACGCAGGCAGCCGCTACATTGTGCAGATAGCACATGAGCCACCATGAGACGCGTCCGCGGCGCAATAGGCATCAAATACGATCATCAGCGACCGCATTGGGACAGCTGCGCATTCCAAGACTCACCAGCGTAACAACGTGTCTTTGAAGACCGCGCGGGCTCGTCAACCCCTCACGGCCGTCTCTTCATCGTAAGACAAGCGTCGATATGACTTGTCGCAAAGCCCTGAGGGCACATTGGTCGCCAGCGAAGCAAACGTCGAGGGGCTCGGCCCGGGGAGGGTGTGAGTGGTACGAGCCGAGAACCGATCTCCGTGTCTTGATGCCGGAGGCATTGAGCTGAGTTGCCTAATTCGGATATTCGTGCTGCAAGAGAGGAAGTGTGTGGCGAAGGGGTGCCCTTTGTGGTTGGAACGCACTCCGCCGGAGTCAGGGGCCTATTGTAAGCAGGCCTTTGCAGTGTGGCGATTAGTGAGACGTGCGGGTTTGATTTGATGGACAGCTTTTCTTCTGCCCATGATGGTGGTATCAGACTGAAAGGAAATTGATAGTGGCGGAAACGGCCGCAGGGCAGGGCCGGACAGATGATGCCGGTTTGGGGCGTGACGTGAGGCCATCGTGAATCTCATTCGGCGCCACGGCGTTCGGCAGCCCCTCCAGCTCCGGCCGTCCACGGTCCCGGCCGCCGTCCGGTGCAAAGACCAAGACAGCAGGTCGAAAGAATGAGCGAGCAAAGGAAAAGCTGGGGACAGGATCTGCTCCCGACGGGGTCGCATGGCTTGACGCCACAGGCCGCAGAGGGACAGACTTGGAGCAGCTGGCTGGTTGCAGCAGACTTTGGAACTTGTCAGCAGTGGCTTCCGTGCGCCTCGTCTTGCACCCGCAGGCTGAAGCCGGCGTTTTGGACGTGATTTGACTCTGGAGTCGCATCGTACGATTCCCTAGTTGCCATCATCTCTGCAGCAGCGGATGCTTCGTCCTGAGATGAAGCTCGACGGTACGTGCGCCGCGTGTGCGTCTCGCAGGCGTCTACCCATTCCAGTCGCCAGGTCGCAATGACTAGGCCCTGCCATCCCATAATGCCGCCCATCAGGGTCATTTGCGTCTGCGTAAAGCTGAGACGCGCGGGGAACGGACTGCGTCGTCCGGCATTTCGAGGCGTGGCCTGCAGCCAGCCAGGATCGCCAGCCATATTATAACAGAAGGGGTTTTGGAAGGTGGGCTATAGGCGTGGCTATTCCCATGTTATGGCAATATTCGACATGCATCAGCATCCGTCGCGCAACAGCAAGACGACTTTAGTTGAGGCGAGCCACTCCGAAGCCTACCGTAGAAAGTCTCGTGAACCATTTCGTTTCGCAGCGGCGTCAGGGTGGAATGAACGACTCGACTCGCAGCACGCCGGCCGGGCCGTCGAGTACGTTGCAATCCCTGGCCAAGGATACGCTCTGACGACTGAACTTGCTAGGTCGTGTTAGAACAGTCAGGGATCCGTGTGAAGGTGAAGACGAGATGTTGTAGGCTGCGGGGGTTGTAGTCAGCACCAACTTTGAATGGACGATGGCAATGTGACCACGACCTCTGTTTTAGACGCACCCTGCCAAAAGATGAAGTAGCTGCGTGGATGTAAAACAAAAACAGGCAGCCCGATCTTGAGTCTCATCAAAGCCAAAAAGCAGGCATTCTCATGTCACATACGTCCGATGGGGGCAAGACACGGCCGACCACTGCTTAGCCGAGAACCGCAGTCGATGATTTCACGACAATCCCCAAGAAGGAATATTAGGTTCGACCCCCAAATCTTAACCCGACGAATCGTGTAAGCCCCGCTCAGCGCAAGCAGCAGCGACTGTGGATTGGAAACTCTCGCACGAGAATAGTAACAGCGCTCCGCACTCAGCTCCGCAACGCACACCCTGAGGTACCTTATTCAAGGCACTGGCTCCTTCGTGGTGCCGACTAGTGCGGAGCGTCGCGTGAGGGAGGGTCTGTAGGTTGCGTAAAACCCCTGGCTAATGGGTGGCAGACGTCTGTAAGCTGCGCAAGGTGGCATTGGGTTGATTCGTCTACTGGTCGTATTGGCAAAGTCTGGTCGATGCTCTTGGGCATACAGAGCTGCGACCGAAACAACCTCGAGTTATACGTTGAGCGACACATTAGGCCGCTATGGGGGAGCCAGAAGCCCAACGTCGAGGGACCTCCTACCGCACTGGATCCCTCGACGTTGCTGCGCCGTACGCTGCCCAGTGCTTGGAGCAAGGTTGGAGGAATACGACGCGGACATGAGTAGCGCCCAACGCTAGCCGTCCTGGGAAACCGATTCAACCAGTTTCCACCACGAGCCCACGACCCGATGCCCCAATCGAAGTACCTACCATACTCTGTAGTACGTAGTGAATAACGGTGTTGCGCCGTGGACGCTGTCGACGGGATCCTCGGCCGCTCCAAAATCCTCCCAACCGCACGTCACATACCCCACTGTCCTCAAACACCGCCCGCCTTCCCTTTCCAGACATGGAGATGAGAAAATGGAGACGGGAATTTCGCTATGGGAAGGATCAGGAAGGAGTCGTGCGTGAAGTGGAGGAACTGGGGCAACTCGCCTGGAGTTCCCACAATCAATAACAGAAACGACGACATCAGATATGTCTTCTGGAAAACGGAAGACAGGAGCAAAATAACAACGGCGGTCCCGACGAGGAGGCCCGTCTGTGGAGTGATCTGCATCAGCTGACCGGGGTTCGGGACCCGGAGCTGAGGTACGCCGAGTTGAGGTCGCATGGGGGGATTTCCATTGATGGAAGCATTCTAGAAGGACTCAGCCCCTTGGGTGGTGTGCTCGCCGTTTGATGGCCGCAAGGAATCTTCCGGGTAACGGGTTCAAGAGAAACTCGAGACGCTGCGTGCGAGTACTTACTCTATCTCCAAGGGGCTCTCGTTCGCGGTTTCGAGTCGTTGTACGAGGGGCCGCGCGCCTCCCCCATCTTACCATGTCTGTTGCCGCTTAGGCGCCTGGGCAGTCCATGGGCAGTGCCGAACAGACCAACGCAACAGCCCTTTAGCCGTCAAGGGCCCCCGTCATGGATGGGGTTATCCTGCGGCCATGTTGGAAAGATGAGGACAAGGTCTCCAATCCGGTGATGCAAGTGAGGCTGCGGATGGAATAATCAATAGGCCAACGGGGGGCCTGCGCCAACACGTCCATGGACCTTCGCTGTTGGAGTGGTTTTCGAGCGTCAGGCACGCGATGGACCGTCCTCATTACCAACAAGCTGCTTCCTAGCTCCTAGAGTTCCCACGCCCCAGCATGCCAGCCCAACCTGACAGCCAACGCTTTATTGATAAGTCTGCCGACGAGGGATGCAGGACAATCCGCCCAGCGACGATGGGGAACGGGTGCACGGACACGGCGCGACGCGGCTACGCCTTGTTGTTTATTGAGTCAAGCACCGAGGTATAATGTCATTGTCTTATAGCGTTGCTTGAATTTTTGAGAACCCGGTCCTGGACGTCGCCATCGCGAGACTGACAAGCAGAGCCTGTTCGATGCAAGCCATTCAGACCCGCCATTGCTAGCCACCCATGGTCATAACTTATGTCGACTATGCTCCATTACATCCTTGCGTTTGCAGAGTGTCATTACGATCGCTAAGGAGCCACCAATTGCCTCTACATGAGACGTGCAGACGCCGGCACCTATTATTGGAGGCTGGGAATCGACGGACGAAGTGGTGCTGAACTCGTTTGCGGAGGTTTCGTCGCTGTTTGTCGGCGGTGCCGTGCCGCCCGACTCCCGGCCCCTGGGTTGCAACACCGGTCAGAACCAAGTGAGACATGAGCTGGCGGCTGTGGGTACCAGTGTCATCCGTTCTCTCACAATGCCTACTCGGAACGCATCCGCGGGTGCCTGGCCTTAGCACCAGCACGCTCAACCGATGGCATTCGGTTTGTGGCTTGAAGCCTTGAACCATGGGAACCCCAAGTGAGAGTGTTCAGTATTGAGCCGGGTTGCTTGCGTTTGGCCTCTCAACCCCGAGTCGGAACTCCAGACCGTCCCACTAGACTGTTCTTTGAGACACAAATCCTGCGCCCACCCGACAGGAATAGAACACAAATGAAGAGAGCGCGCATTCATTGGCGACTCAGAATGGGGAAACATGAATGAGCAGTCGACGGCTAACTTGTTTGTTCGGGGCAATCAAACCTGGGGAAAGTCAGGCACTGCCCAGTCGGAGGACGACAGACGATCGACCGAAACTGGGCCACAATCGGTATCTGTGAGCCACTGTGTCGGCCGTATACGCCGTTAAACGGTGATGATCACAAAGTGCTGAAACATCTCTATGGCCATCGTATTTCCCGCGCTGGGGACTGTAGGTATAAGAGCAAGTCAGGCAACTGTGTCCAGTGAGTGATCGCAATGTGCCAAATCCCCACAACCCGGCTGATTCCTGATTCCTGATGATGAGGTTGCCAGGTTGCGCCGTGCCACCCATGCCCAAACGCAAAATGATGTGCAGCGAGGGCCCATGCGTGGTTATGATTTAGAGTTTCGCCATGGATAAAGGAATCAAATTGGAAGGCAAAGTTCTTTGGGCAATACAGTCGGCAAGTCGTGTGCTTAGAGGGGGGGCAAGGAAAAAGACCAAAAAACTAAAGGGGGAGGGGGCATTGCCATGCTGGCGGTCAGTAGGTATACCTAGCCTGCCATCCTGTGAGTGACACAGAGTGACCTGACAGTTAACCCCGAGCAGTCCGAGACGAACTGAAGACTAACACAGGGATTGATGTTGTGAGCGTTCTGACAGGCTGGTGCCTCATCCCGAGTCCTAATCGGGCAAGTCGGCCAGTTGAGGCGAGACATAGTGGCGGGCACGACCGTCTCTTTGTCTAAATTTGTCTAATCCGCATTCTCTCCTGCCCGCCGAGATTGGTTGGATTGAAGGATCAAATTGTGACCGAGATGCATGCAGTAAATGGATTATCTTGAACAAACCACGCCAGCCGCCGAGATTGCACTCGTCCGAGGGCCGCCCATGTTGGCCTTCAGCTGTTGTGAACACCGAGATTTGGATTGACCCGCGCGAATCGAGGGCTAAGCAAAGCAGCCAAGGTCAATGCTTCCGCAGGATCCACGGTGGTTCAGGCCTTCCATCCTATGAGAGAAAGGCCGCTCGAGCAGATGCGCCGGTGTGCTGCACTATGGTGGGCGTGTCGACGTCCAGAGTGACGATCCCACGACATTTTCCAAGATGTGTGTTGCTGTGCCTGCAGGAATATGCAGCTGCGTTGCTTCCCCCCAGACGATCCTCTCTCCCAATTTCCACTACCCGCGTTGCCCGTGAGCGACAACTGGCGGTGATCGCGTAACGGCTCCAGTCCTTTCGCTTTCAAAGGGAGTGCTTGCGTGAAGATTACGCCTCGCTGCATTTACAGTGCTCTTCACTGGCAACGGAATCAATCATCACTCCCCACAAAAAACAACAACGAAAAAAACACATCCTCATTGTGGCCGCAGCGACGGCGCTGTGGAAGACCGCCCAGACGAGGCCGGCATCCTCATGGTATCCTGTTGCTTGACGGAGGGGAGAAGGAGAAACCCACGAGAAGAGAGATGGAATCGCAACTTTGCACATGCATGCACTGCTGTTTGTACCCCGTAACCTTCTGAAGGCATTGTGCTTTGCCGGGGAATTGGGCCGGGGAAAACGGGCAGAGACCAGTTCATTTGGTCTTTTCGGCAGCTGAAAGCATGGCGCAGCATGATGAGGATTCTGTTTGGTCCCGTGATACCGCGCAACACTGTATCTTGCTACGGCTCATGCTTGTGTGCGCCGTGGGGGCAATGCAGTATGTTGCGGGAAAATAGCGCGAGCCAGGCCGAACTACGATATCATCAAGGATAAGGCGGCAGCGGCTTGGTCTTGAGTTTGTCAGTCTGGCGTAGGCTTCCAATAGCAGGCCAGCAATGAGAGACATGGGACGAGTGTGCAGTCGGCATGTCTGACAGGGTGTCGGCGTCGCATTGGAACGGTATATGATTGGGGGTGCAACGAGAACCCAAGGGACAGCAGGATGCGCAAACGAGGCGCGTCCATCGCAATGTCTGTCACTTTCGATGTGTGACCGAAGCTGGTGCCATTGCAAGACTAGCTGGCACGAGATCGGCTGCAGTCAGTCTCAAGGGCCATT